CATTGGCGCCAATGATTCCAAGTGATCTTGCGTCCCAACCTCATTTCAGTCAAAATCACCATTTTACGGTTTAACCGTTGCCTCAGGGTCGGATTTTTACGCTAGAGAAATGATTAGGGATCATTTTTATTAATGCAAATCTTGGAGAGAAGAGTTTTCGGTGTCTCTTCTAGCTCGTTTACGTGTTCAAATTTTAGAGGCGATATAGCATCAAGCAAACTCTCAACCAAACAACAAAGTAATGAAGCAATAGTAAGCGGAATTAATAAAGAATCATTACATTCTTTACAAACCGTATTCTATATACTGCTAAGACGCCTAACTGGTGAACTAACTAGAGGCAGCGAGGATAAGGTTGATAATCTCCTTGTGGCGATGCAATACTGCTAGTTGTAGAGCTGTTGCGCGCCCTCCTCTTTGTGCACTAGCATCAGCGCCCTCGTCGAGAATGAGTTGAACGATATGTGTGTGTCCCCCCGATGCCGCGAGGCAAAGAGCTTCGTTTAGTATCAATCCGATTGTGTATTTAGACTGTAGGTCGTGGGAAATACGCTCACACCCCAGAGCACGGAGGGCTTTCCTGGCCGTGTTTATCATTCCCTTTCTTACCGCCCAGAGGAGGCTAACTGGGCTGTTGCTTTTTGTATCCCGATAGTATAAAATGTATTCGATGATAGGGTAGACTTGCTTGCTAGTGTGAAGCAACTTGAAAAGGTCTTTCGCCTCGAGGAAAGCAGCAAGTTCAAAGTAAAGTTCTGGGGGTAGAGTAAGGAGTGCCATTAGGTCCTCTGGCAGCTGCTTCGAAATCTGGTTAGGATACGACAATAGGAGAGGAATTTGATCTCGAATACGGTATAAGCCTTTAGAACATCGATTCTTCTGAGTGTTATAATTATCTCTGTATGATAAAGTAACATGAAGGAGACATAAGTAGTAAAGATAGAACTCGACTGTCAATTACCAACGACCACCCTGAAGGGCTAGAAGCCTGCATCCGCTAGGCTTTACCACACAAACCGTATGGTGTGAAGTAAGTCACCGATTAGCGTCCAGAAAAGGAGCCTGGAA